GCTTCTGGAAGAAGACTCACATGTATTTAAAGATGAGAAGGGCACCACTCTTTCCCAGAATGGTTCTTCTTTCCTCCAGCTTGGAATGCTCGTAGTAGTAGGCTAGACCAATGGCACCGACCTTGTCCTAGACCCTTACAACACCAGCTATCGGACACACCCCGAAAGATAAAGTGCCTATCGAATCAAGCCAGGTTGATCGATCTTCATCCATACCAGGCGTGGGTGTGGGTGCTGCTAGGAACAAATTTGCCAAGATCTTTGAGTTCCGATATCCATGGGGCAGTCGATCTGCCGGCTGTCCAAAAGTCGGCCCGTTGTCCATTATGGTAATCATTCGGCGGTTGGGCCCCTTGACAGGAATCACCAGCGGGGCCTGCGCGCTTTTTGACGTCTGATGGACCGTGATGGCATGATGTTCGCCGCGGACTGCTACCTTCAGTTGTCATCTTCCCCAGCGGTAGTCTGTGCTTGCCGGGTGGTGGCTTGACGCTGGCTGGTGGTTCACGTTGGATTGTCAACTTCGATGGACGGGTGTGCGGTTGCATCTAGCGCTCGGGCCCTCATTGAATCTGGCGATTTTCGAGACCCTCGAATCCTGGTTGCAGCATGTTAAGCTTACATGGTAATACGACATCGCTTAGGTCCTGGATGCAGGAGCGAGGCCTTGGATATCGATAACGCACGATGACACGTTGTGAAGTATCGATGTTGCTCTGGACCAAGAAAAAGAAGTTCGGATAAACGCAAAGCGGACAGGAACTGCTTAAGTGCATAGTGGATCATCTGGCGGTTCTTAGTCACGATGCAGGGATGAGCACGTGACGGTCGTGGTTGGTTCGCGCTCAGACTGCCCGGCTCTGAGTGGTGCCGCGCGTGCCCCACCTCGAGGAGCGAGATCAAGACGCGATTGTCATTTTTGGTCGTCATCGACGCAGTGCGGCGCAGTGTCAGTCGGGCGCATTGTGGACTTTCTTGGCTTTTGCGCTTATGGCTGATTGAGGACTTATATACATCCAACAACGACATGCCTGCAGAGGTCATCAACCTACTGTCCAGTCCCTCTCTAGGGCCGTCGCCAATCCAGCCCGCACCTCGACCAGCACAACAAGCGGCAGCGTCCGAAGCAACTGCGCTCGACTACGACGATGATGTCTTCGATCTGACCGCAGACTCACCAGAGCTGATCCCAGAATCAGCAGCGAAGCCTGCTGCCCGACCCGAGCAACTGAAGCCCACCTACTCTCCCAGAAGCGTGTCCGGTGCGAAGCGGCCACGGGACGAGCAACCTATCAACGATGCGCCGGTCTACTACATGTCAGATGACTTCGACACGACGATCGATCTCGACAGTAGCCTGCCCCTTAAGAAGGTGCCAGACTCTGATACTAGAGATACCAAGAGATTGCGTCTTTCGCCCACTGGAGGCGGAGCCGGTCGCACGTTTGACAGGTCGCATTCTGCTACCCATCAGCCCAGTCGACCGCCTGTAAAACAATCTGGCGCTTTCCGGCGAGCCCAGACTTTGGATGATCCGATCGATTTCTCCAGCTCACCCGGACTTCCGCGCCCGGCGACCAGCGATGTAGCAACGGGAAAGATCTCTAAGACAATCGAGTCCGATGACCCATTCGCTTCGTCACCTCCTTCGGCGCAGCTAGCACCCAGACAGCATAGTTCCAATGGAGGTGCAACCAAGGCTCCATCACCGAGGAAAGACCGTATAGACTACGATCTTACATCCGATGACCCTTTCGCAAGCTCACCTCGACCGCCACCGAAACCCACCGCAGAGCCAGACACGATCCTGTTAGACGACGACGATGATGACGACGATGACGGTACTTTTGCCAAGCAGCCGCAACGGTCAGCAGCTTCGATCGCGAACTCACGATCTCCAAAACCTACAAGCAAGTCATTGGACAAAGGAAAGCAGAGGGCGGAATCGCCAAAGAGAAGGGCCAACTGGGACCCAATATCCAGCTCCGCGCCGGAACGACATTTGCCTAGCGACCCATTCTCTTCGCCACCGCCACGAAGAACATTCACCAAGTCTGTCAGCGAGATTATTGACTTAAGCGATGACGAGCCGGCACCAAGGGACGTCAATCCCGACTCGGACGATGACTTCCCAGATCTCGATAACTTCGATGCTAGGAGGCTGAAGGACCGAGTCGAGACGAAGAAGACGAGTTACAAGGCCCCATCGACGAAGAGCAAATCTACCACTGCTCGGGCTACAACCAAGAAGTCGGCGGACGATCGGACAAGGGATAAAGAAGCAAAGGCAGCAGAGCGGGAGCGGGAGAAGGAACGCAAGAAGCAAGAGAAGGAGGCTGCAAAGGAGCAGAAGGCCAAGGAGAAGGAGCGCGCCGCTGCCCTGGCGGAGGTCAACAAGATCAGGACCGACAAGAAGGTCTCAACACCGGAGATGATTATGGATCTCCCGTTAAGCCTGCCTGCTGCTGTCACTCTCCAGATCCAGACGCTACTCAAGGATCTCGACGTCCAGCATGAGGCGTGGGATAGCCCCGTGCATAACGTCGTCAAGTGGAGAAGAAAGGTGGCCAGCCGCTTCAACGAAGAGCTGGGACACTGGGAGCCTATGCCGATGCATATCGAAGACGACAAGTTCGCGCTGGTCATTGTCAACGCGTCGGAGTTCGTCACATATGCACTCGGTCCTGAAGGCAACAACCTCGAAGCTCACGTGTTGAAGATGAAGCGCCATTTCCCGACACAGCAGCTCATTTACCTGATCGAGGGTCTGACGCCATGGATGCGCAAGAATCGTAACGTCCGCAATCGACAATTTGCCTCTGCGGTGCGCAACGAAGAGCCAGCCGAATCCTCTACGAGTGCCCAACCGCGGCGTCGTAAGAACCAGCAGCCGCAAGAGTACATTGACGAGGATTCGGTCGAAGACGCCTTGCTGGAGCTGCAGGTGATGCATAACGTGCTCATCCACCATACGAGCGCGGCCGTCGAGACTGCGCAGTGGGTTGCTATCTTCACCCAGCACATCTCGACCGTACCCTACCGCAAGCAGCGCGAGGCAGCCAACGCTGCTGGGGCGGGCTTCTGCATGGAGACTGGCCAGGTACGCACGGGAGAAGATATCAAGGACATCTACGTGCGGATGCTGCAGGAGATCGTGCGTGTCACGGCGCCCATCGCATGGGGCATCGCCCTTGAGTTTGAGACGGTGCCGAAGCTTGTGAAGGGGTTGGAGGAGGGCGGGCCGTTGGTTCTGGAGAACATCAGGAAGAGCACGAACAAGGACGGTGGGTTGTCTGACAGAGCCGTGGGCAAGTCTGTCAGCAAGAGGGTTCACAAGGTCTTTACTGGGAGAGACGAATGGAGTACGGACGTGTAGGCATAGCGTTTTACGAAGACATCAGCAAGTTACGAACTGTGTGGGATCCCGAGGGTTCTTTTGGACGATGTCACGATCAGGAATGTATTTTAGACGAACGAATGAACATCACTTTGCAGGCAGACAAGGTTTCTGATTTCGTAATAATTGTATTAAGTGTAAACCGCGAGACTAGTAAATCCCGTTCTATTATTCCAGGAGCAGCAGGTGTACTGTGAAGTATCTGTATTCTGAGCCATGTTAGTCAAGGCCCGTCCAAAATGAAGTTCATCAAAACAAAAGTGATTTGATAGCTTGTGTCAGACAGCGGTTGGACGAATGTTTTTCCACACGTATACTTTCGGTACAGGTCTGTGAATTTTCTTGCCTCATCACAACAAGCGGGGAGTGGGGTTGAGTAATAAAAAATTCTGCACATACCTTGTAGCAAGTAGACCGCCGAGTCGTTCTGCATTGAACAGACTCGGCGACCAGATCGGAGACGCATCAAGCGTCATCTCCATGTTTGCGCTTCTTTGCGGTCGGCGTAAAGAACGCGTTGAGCGTCTTCTGCTTCTCGTCAAACTTGGCGCTGCCGATCCCACCTCGGGTCTTTTTCAGACCTTGGAGGTGCCCCGTGGAGTTGACGGCGACTGTCTTGATGGACAAGCCAGGCCAAGTGGGTGCAGTCGCTGGCTCCTTGGACGGTGGCGCAGCAGGCGTGACGAGAAGTTCGACGTAGCCGGTGTTGCTCCAGGCCAAAGGCAACTGGTCCTCGGGCGAGGCGACAACAGTCCCCAAGTTCTTTGCAGAACGAAGAGCCCGTACGAGCACGCCGAGAATGATCCCGTGCGCGATAACCACGACGCTCTCCGCGCCCTCCTCGACGCAGGCGAAGATGGGGCCGAGGTACTCGTCCACAAATTTCTTCGCCCTCGTAAACATCGCCTCAGAGGTCTCGGCGCCAACGTGTCTTTCACCAACAGCGCGGGCGCCGACCTTCTGGCCCTCGCCGGACCCAAAGTGCTTCTCGCGAAGCTCGGGTAGCTGCACGACCTCCACCCTCCTGCCTGTCGTCGACGACGAAGTTTCACCTTCAGTCGCGTTCGGGGGCGTGGAGAGGGCGTCGCAGACAGCCTCGGCGGTGCGATACGCACGCTGCAAATTCGAAGCGAAGATGTGCGAGACGGGCGCCGAGGCGGTGCGCAAGGCGAGGTGTGTGCCCAGACGCCTAGCTTGCAGGACGCCGTGGGAGGTCAAGGACGCGTCACGAGAGCCTGCACTGCACGACCACCAATGCCACGCACGTTAGAAAGAGGACGAGGGAAGGGAAAACCCAGCCAAATTCAGGCGGCAGCAGCGAAGAGGCGCGCGTACTAGAGGTTCGCGACGTTGTCGACGGACTCGCCGTGGCGGACGAGATAGAGGTGAATTGCGCCCATTGTCATGCGTGCGAGAACGCAGCTACATGGTTTGGGGTGCGAGAAGATTCGGTCCTCGTAGTGTCGTGCCGTTGCAGGCTGGTCTGTCGAATGGTAAAGACCTGTTTGTGATGGAGGAAGAAAGTTGAGGAAGATTTATTGCGAGTGAAGTTTTTTGTAGCTTGTACTGGGTGGGGCGGCGGCTAGCTGCATACCTTACCCGCTACAACTGCTTTTTTGGTAGATGCATATATCCACCTCTACCATGAAGCATCGGTACAAGGATTCTTTTGCATCGTCGTCTGGTTTGGTAGGTAAGTATTAGCCCCCGAAAGCTCGCAAACCCAGACCATTACGAGCTGACAGCCTATAAATAGGTTTCTGATGTTTTCAAAATCAAGAGTCACCCACTGATCACACAAAAGTAAAAGAACCCGCCTCATTTTCCTAGAAACCTGCAACTGCGACGCACGAAATAGTTTCCGTTGTAAGAGGCGACGGCGACAGCCTCGTATGGAGGACGCAGAGGTTCCGAATGGGATATTTCTATATACTCAGTTGGCACTGTTTTCCATTACCAGATTTCCTTCGCTGGCAAGGTGAGTCAGCTTTCTGTTGTTTACCTTGTCACTTGATTCGTCAACAATCGTTTCATTGCCAAGGCTGCGGCATAAGTGCATCGAGCCCTGGTGACCAGTCGTTCTGTCAAGCAAATTTGTAGCCTGCAGTCCAACCTCATAACGACCTTTGGCAATATTCTTACCCCGCTTTGCCTTGGAACAGCATCAAAGCCTCCCCTCGCCAGAGACACATCTCATGGTTTCCCGCGACATCATCCCATCTTTTCAAGACAGTGCCTGTCTTCTGGCCGAGATTATCTGCACAAAATGTCAAATGAGGTTGATTTTGCCTTTCAGGGCGACGTCATCAACCTAGGTTCTCTGACCCATATGATGACAGGGCGCGTCCTGAAAGCCCTCAGCGATGGGAAAGTCGATATCTATGCTGTCGGCGCCGCCTTCTGGCTAGGGGCCAGGATTCCGATACGTTCCTCAGTCACAGACACGGTTCACGCACACGTTTCCCAGAGGCGCGGCTATCAATCGGTTCTCTCTAAGGCTCTCAGCATCGGCTGGGGCCATTCGACTCCCGTGGTGGAGATGACTCGCACGAGGGCCGGAACGAATGCCTTGTTGCTTGTTGGGGCCCTTGCGACTGGTGCGTCGCCTTTTCAAGCGGCACAATGTCTCTCAGAGTTGCTGTCCGTATTTGGCATCGATGCGGAGAAGCTGCCAAGCGCCGACTTTGAAAGAGTTGGTTGCGTACTTAACCCCATTTGTATACGATCTTGGGTTCTCAAAGATTGTTCAACACATTACAGATGTCGCAGAAACCGCCATGGAGAAAGAAATTATGGATTCACAACCGACAATAACTAAAGATGGAAGATTGGATCGCCAACCTTTTTGGGAACTACGACACCTGGGATCTCCAAACGCACTGGCTGGCGCAATCAAACAGCTAATTTACACTTCCAAAAACCGCCAAGAGCATTATCTGATCTTGGACATACGTGGGTCGTGGCTTCCAGCTTTTGCAAGTCATTTCCTTGGGATGTCCGTTGAGCTTCACTGTAACGGGCAGCTCATATGGGCGGCTGGAAGAGACAAAGGCAGTGTGGTCTTCCAATTAGGCAAACGTCCGATGGAAAAGTTCTCTATTCAATCTTCCAATACGTCTCAGATTGTAATATCAAGCCCCGAGACAATTCAGGACGATAATCTCATGTCAGTCGACTATCTACTAACAGATGCCCTGGAAGCGATTTTGGCCAAGCGGCCACAGATTGATTCGAAGCTCGTCGAATCCGTCCATGGTGCCATTAGGAGAATGTCCAAGCATCTGTTGGCAGACATGATCATCGAACGGCGCTCTTTCATGACATTAAAAAGTACAGGGGACTTTGATAACGCTGGGGCTCTGGAAGAAGTTCTTCATGTTCTTCAAATTAAGGCCACTGATCAAGAGTCAGAAGAGACCTTTCCGCGCAGATCGAAACGCGAGGAGGCATTTTGGACATGGTTTGCAAAGTGGGACACAGGCTTCATGGTGGCTGATAGGCACGCATCGCCGCCAGAACCGTCAACACCGTCGTCATCGTCATCGTCGTCAGTGCGAAACTCGCCCACCAAGGAGTCGTCGGCCTCTCCAACCATAAGACCATCTCCACCTACAGATCCAGTGCCCCCAGAGCCGGTATTCGAGGCAGAGCCGACCCCTGAAGAGGCGGTTACGGGAGAATCAGTGCCCAAAAAGTCTTTACATCGAGGAGAACGGCTATCTACAAAGTCGATATCCGAAGAGCCGGTACCTGCGGCAAAGGCGACTCCTTCGAATCCAGTTGCGGTAACGGACGAACCAGTACCCTCAAAGACGTTATCTACAGAAGAATCGCTGCCCGCAAAGCCGGTCCCTTCAGAACCGGCATCTGCGAAATGTGCGGCATCTTCGGACCCCTCATGCTCGTTACCTAATGACAAAGAATCGTTTGAGAGGGGCTCGACGCGGCCTTGGCGTAGCCGTACGTATGGATCCATGGGCCCATCAAGCCATGGTTTCACATTCCTGGCTCGGAATGAGGTTCTCAGGCTAGCAAGTCTTTGCGAATTGCACAGGTATGACGCAGAGTCAGTTGCGGACACCTCGATTGATACCGAAAATCATGTTCCCCGAAGCGTGTGCATATGTCAACAGATCGGCACCATCATCCACAACACTTCCATCATTGCACTAGCATTGGCACATTGCAGATTCAATTCCTCCGAGCTTCGTATACCTGAGCAATCTTTGACATACAGCAAGAATCGACACACATCTTGGTGTGGCTCATTCATTCCAGGGTCGGGCCGCGCTTTCGGCCAGCAACTGTTTGATGGACTGCTTGACTACTTGGCGCAAGTCTTTTGCGTAGATTATTCATACAACTGGAAAAGATCAAGGAATTTTAACGACAGTGACTTTTAGTCGTGGCGTCTTCTTGGTCTTTCGGGGGGGACTTACACCATCCATTACGCTTGCATCATGCAAAATGACTGCTATGACGCATTTGGGCGCATGATCAATATCACAACTGGACGAGCATCAGTTGCTGGATTGTTTCGCAACAGAATTGAGGAGAAATCCTGGATGGAGTGGAATCCTTCGATAGGGCGTCGACCAAGACCTATCATGGAGCCTAGTGTCCTCACAGGCGGCTCTGTAATCCGGCCTCACTATCGCCCTCCCAAAACGAGTATTTCCATGGATGCATCTCTCCGCGAAAGTTCTATAGAGATTACACTTCGGGTAGCAAGCGACAAGTCGCGATCAAGGCATTGGGAGTTTACCGAATGTATCCACGCAGTGCTCTCAGGTACCGTTGTCCCCTACTGCGACCATGAATTCAATTCCGGATATGAACTTCAGAGGGATCGTGAATTAGCACTCGAGGGCTTCCATATTGCACGTTTCACCAATCGGTCGTCTGATCACATACTGATTCTCGCTCTGGAGGGAAATAAGCTGGAGCAGCTTCTGGCCTGCGGCATGTTGATACACGAAGCAAGACAAGACGAGCCGGAACCCAAGAAACTACTTCGAGGGGTGCTTCAGTTGTCAAGTTGCCTAAGATGCTCGATCCGGCTTGCGCAGCAGTCTCAAGACCACCTACCTTGGGTGATTGTTGGTGGTTAGATCACCGTGCTGGAGGAAGAGGAGGAACCTATCTTTCTTTAATGCATGATTTTAAAGCAGCGGAGTTGATGCCGCCGCAAACTTTTTGCACTCTGTGCAAATCATAGAAACAATTCTAAACAAGCTAATTGATTGAGATTGCCTTTCCGCGTGAAAAGTTGTTGCAATGTCAAGATGCTAGATAGTCCTACGGGTATACTGAAATAGCCACGGCACTTCATTGCAATGCAATGCGGATATTCTAATGAACCTCCTTGATGAATTAACAACACCTCTGTTTCCGGAATCTGGACGTCCGAGGATGATGATGGAATGATTTGGTTCAAAACAAATAGAGACTTCGATAACAAATGTACCTAGGTATCTTGGGTGAGGTTCTTACCATCATGCAAGTTGAAACATCACCGACAGTGTAGCCTTGGGCGCTTCTGCGAAGGGTAACAGGAAATTTCCACATGAGCCCTGCAACAAGTGGTCTTGCATATCTGAAGCGATATACAGCGAGCAAACAACGAACAACTGCCGTTTTCGCCGTGAAAAAGGATAGCAAATGGGGAGGCCCATGCACGAATCTTCCGATACTGCAGTGGCCCTATCACGTTCTCGATTCAACCCTGCTGAGTTTCGTGTGCACGAAAGTAACATTTCGGTGGAAAATATAACACCATGGAGTCACAAGTATTTCCCACTCATTAGAGCTTGCCCCTTCTTACTCGAAAAGCAGCGTGACTATTTCAATAGCCCCTGGACTTGAGAGGAAGCTGTATCTGGTGGAAAATGCGATACTGAGCTGGAGCTGGTTCCTTCGCTTTCCTGACTGAGGCGGACACTGTTCTCGGGGGGACCTGAACCGGAGGTGGGTCGGCATCTTCCCTCTTCCCTTCTAAGACGTGAAGATGCCGACCCCGTTTCGGACAGTTGCCGCCAAAAGGGCACCCCGCAGTCTTGCCGGACCCACTAAGTCGAGCTTGCGGGGGAGTTGATTGCTGAGGGAACTTTTCCTCAGCTCACCCAACGTCTCAACTCTCGTTCGCCAAATTTTTTTCTCAAAACTCAACCGATCACTAGAAGTCTCGAACGCAACCTCCCAGAAATGGAAGCCTTCATCAATTCCCGCGAAACCCGCCCTCAGCTGATACACACTCTTCTGGCGGCCCTGCCTCCCCTGGACCCCTTACTCGAAGAGTTCCGTGACGTGGCTACTCTTCCTGATGGCTACAAGATCGACCTCCAAATCGTGCGCCATCGCGGTGTAAACGAAACCAACGGCGGAAAGCCTCTAATTCTCCTATGGCCCGGCGGCGGCTTCATCGTCGCGGGCGTCGAGCCAACAACTCGGCCTGCTCGCGAATTCGCCCTCGAATTTGACGCTGTTGTCGTCAATGCAACCTACCGTTTGGCGCCCGAGCACAAGTTTCCTCAAGCCGTCATGGACGGTTGGGAGACTGCTAAATGGCTTGCCAAGAACGCCAGCCGCTACGGCGCAGACATCACCAAGGGTTTCGTGATCGGTGGCTGGTCTGCAGGAGGAAACATCTCTGCAGTCGTCGCACAGAGATCCGGCGTTGAAGGTCTTGGTATCACCGGTGTGATGCTGGGTATCCCGCTCATTTTCAGCAAAGACATCGTCCCTGAGAAGTATGCTTCAGAATGGACCTCCCGAGAGGACAACGCAACGTGGAGTGAGACATTTACAACGGAAGTCATTGAATCTGTAAAGCATGCATATGATGCGGATGTCAAATCGAAATGGTACTCGCCCATCAACGACCCTGAGGCGATCCCTAAGTCTCCCAAGACCTATATCCATGTCGGCGACAGAGACCCTTTGAGAGATGACGGGTTGATTTATGCCAAGGTTTTGCAGGATAACGGGGTTGAAGTAAGAGTGGATAACTACCTGGACTGGGGCCACCAAGGCTGGACTATCTTTGCGCCCAAGGAGGTTCCCGCGGACTTAGCGTCGAACACAATGAAGGGAATGAAATGGTTATTGGGCAGGGAATAGTATTTGGGGGTTTGCGTCTAGCAAGGCCAAATTTGGGTTCCGACATACCTCATGTAAAACCAGGTGGTAACATCGACATAACTCAGACACCATTTTCTTTAAGAAGAACTGCCATTTAGCACCAGTGTACTGTAAGACTCTTTGCGGTGATTGGAATGATACCGTGATAGGAACGTATCTAGAGCCCATATGCTCTTCCAAACCCAAGTGAGTTGACGATACAGGAACTTGAGGACATCCCGATGGCTGGTGAAGTGCATTACGGCAATTGCCATATCCCTTCTTGGTGACTGTCTACAATATGCACCTCTGTTCACAGTGGTGGAACTCAGGCTCGGGGCTGGATATTCATCACAATGTCTTTGAACTGGAGCTTGGTTACAATGCCGCGAGTTGAGAGAAACACGATTGCCGTGCACGTTCACAAGAACTACCACCTCAAACTCATGATTCCCTTTTAAATATCAATTCATAGATCCACAAGTATGTCTTCTGGAGGCAGAACCCCTATTTACTACTCCCGCCCTACTGACCCTCCTTGGCAAGATCCCAAGGGTGGAAAGAGATCTCTGAGCCATGGCGGCCATGGCAACGACAAGGGTGGAAGCAGTAGCGGTGAAAACAGCGGCAACACTGGAGGTAACACCGGCGGCGGCGGCGGCGGCGGCGGCAACAAGAAGTAAAGTCTACAGTGCATTGTCGCATGTGAATTGTAAGGCAGAGTAACCTCTTAAGCAAGGACACACATCGAGTATTTCAGTAGCAAAGAGATTTAGGAAGTAGTTGAATAATTCATATCGCTGTTACTTATCAATTCCATGGCCATTCCTCTAAGGTACTCATACGTCATCACACACATGCCCTAGCATTCCCCTCAATTCCTCTGACCGTAAGGCGACGTCATTCCCACGGTCTCCTCCTCCGCCTGCGCATCAAGCCTGTTGTATCCTCTCTCATTGTCTCCGAAACCAGGGTGCGTGCCCTGGCCGTACGGAACCGATTCGTTGGCAGTGGCGTCCTTCTCCTTCTTGTTCTTGTTCTTCTTCATGAACATCTTCTTGATCTTCTTTGTGGTCTTCTTCACGGCTTTCTTGATCCACTTCGTCGGGTCGAAGCCGCCGTTGTTGTTGCTGCCGTTGCCGCTGCCATCGTCCTTGCCACTGCCGGAGCCTCCTTTACGCTTCCGGCGGCAGCAGCAGCAACAGCAGAGACCGAGGACGCCGACGAAGACCAGAACGCAGACGATGATGATGGCCATCACCGTGCCGGGCATGTGGAGACCTCCATCGCCGTCGTCGTCGCCATCGCGGGCGGAGAGGAGGTGACGCAGGGGTTCGCTGTAGATGACAGGCATTGTGAACCGTGCTCGAGATCGGTGATTTGAGGTTGGGTTGGTGATGTGGTGGAACTGTTGGTTGGGGGCCGATGTGCTAATTATGCCTGCGACTTCAGGGCTTCGTTCTTGAACGAGTGTGTATTAGGTAGCGATTGACTTTTATGTACTGGTATGTGTGGTGTCTGAGGTTGTAGTAAGTTCGTTCAAATACGGGACATCCCAACTTGTTAAATACAGGAGACTCACGACTTCATCAAAAGCAATTCTACATATGCCGGGTCAGTGTGGCTTGGCGGTTCCATAACGTCCTTCATTTAAGAGATGCTATTAATGTCCCTGCGGCGATGCTTAAAGTGGTCGGCTCTCCCGATCGTTGGCTGTTGTTGCGGTAAACTGACTCGTAGCAGCAATTTAAGCCCCATAAGGCTCACGGTAAAGACGTCGGGGTTCCCGCAACAGCACTATGCGACCCCTGCCTACCTGAAAATTTGTTGTTCATTTCCCTGCTGGCTTCGCGGCAGTTTGGAAGCGCAGCGATATTCTTGACGGCACATGCTGTGTTGTCAGAAATAAGGACTGGTCTAGCTGTTGGCGCAGTCTGGACTCCGCAAAAGCATGGACGGGGCCAAACCGATTGGTGTTCGGTCACTGCCTTTTCATATCAGACGAACTGTGGAGGGAATGAGCCCCAGTATGAAAGCCTCTTGGTTAGGTTTAGAGTCAAGATTGACTGCAGCTTTCCGGTGGCTCACCCTGAGATGACTGAGCATGGGTTCCGTTATGCAACCAGATTTTGAACAAAACTGGCCGGCGGGATAAAGGCGACCGCTTCCCACTTCCCAACACCTTCACATGATTGATCAGATAATTGTCATCAATTGTTCATAAAACTGTTCCCCCTACCCTGGGCTCTGCCGACATAGAGCGCCACGAAGCAACAATTGCCGATCAGGTCAACGGTACTAACTTGTTTTTTACCTTGTTGTTGTTGTTGTTGTTGTTGTTGTTGTTGTTGTTGTTGTTGTTGTTGTTGTTGTTGTTGTTGTTGTTGTTGTTGTTGTTGTTGTTGTTGTTGTTGTTGTTGTTGTTGTTGTTGTACGAAGCACGCATCTGTCGCTCATCAAGCTTCTAGCGGAGCTACATTTTCGCCCGAATACTGCCGATGTCCATTCTTGGAGCAATTTCTGAACGATAGAAATGATTCCACGAAGAACGTATCATGTCATAGTCATGGTAGCCACCTAGAACTTCGTCAATGGCGTCAGAAAGCGGACATTCCTCGGCAGCTTCGCGAAGCTATCACCGCCCCTCAGCCCGAACCATCGAAACTTCCACCTCTCAAGTGTGATGAATCGACCATCTTCGGGCCTTCTCTTCAATAGTGAGGTTGTCGTGAAGTTGAGCGACCACCCAGCTCGACAAGTCATCTGATCGGCAGGGCGGGATGCCACCTCGACTCCGCCAAACTCCGCCTCAAGCATGTGTCGGGTGTCATTCCTGCAGGAGTTTGACAGGAGCACAACTTGGCAGGAAGCGACGTCAAGGGCCTTCAAGGTCTCGGCCAACTCGATCTTGGAGGGGTAATGCGGCCACACAACGGCCCTTTTCACCCCGCGCTGGTTTCCGGTTGGAGATATGACAGCCGGCACTAACAGAACTCTCTACCCCGCCATCACCTGCATGTCATTTGGGGATGCCCCCGGACTTCCACTCCGAGCTTAGATCCGGGGAAACACGTGCGGGTAGGCCCGTCTCGGTTGGAGGTACTTCGGCGCTGCTTGTGATGACGGCCGGTGGGAGCACCTCGACTTGGACTCGCAGAGTGGCATCGTGTGGTGGTGATGGTTCACGATGGCACGAGGGTCTGCGGAGAAATTGGGTATAAATTCAAGGTTATTGCCTCATACTCATGAGATAGCCTTCCGACTGCAGACGTCCATCAGACGCCCGATCTCTTGATTTGCACCTCGTCTTCGTGCCCTCAATTATATCAGTCTTTACCTGGACTTTGCTAAGATGAAGTTCTCGACAACTCTGGCTGTCTCCAGCCTCCTTGGCTCCGTCTATGGCCATGGATACTTGACAATCCCTTCCAGTCGCACCCGTCTCGGCCACGAGGTATAGCCCGCAACTAGTCTAAGCATACTATCATCTGAAACTAACTGCCAAAGGCTGGCATAGATACCTGTCCTGAATGCACCATCCGCGAGCCCGTGTCTGCTTGGCCAGACCTCACCGCCGCAACCGTAGGCCGCAGCGGACCTTGTGGCTACAATGCCCGCGTTAGTGTCGACTACAACCAGCCCTCCACGAGCTGGGGAAACTCTCCCGTGGCCACATACACGAGGGGGCAAGTCGTAGACGTCCAGTGGTGCGTTGACAACAACGGCGACCACGGCGGCATGTTCAGCTACCGCATCTGCCAGGACCAAGCCCTCGTCGACAAGTTCCTGACACCAGGATACATCCCCACGGACGATGAGAAACAAGCGGCTGAGAACTGCTTCCAAGCCGGCACTTTGCCCTGCACTGATGTCTCTGGACAGACCTGCAACTACAGTCCCGACTGCACATCGGGACAGGCGTGCTGGAGAAACGACTGGTTCACCTGCAACGCCTTCCAGGCAGACAGCCGCAGGGCATGCCAGGGCGTAGACAACTCAGCTCTTGGATCCTGCTACACCTCCATCGCAGGCGGCTACACCGTCACGAAGAAGATCAAGATCCCAGACTACGTCTCCAACCACACTCTCCTCTCTCTGCGCTGGAACTCCTTCCAGACCGGCCAGGTCTACCTCACCTGCGCCGACATCGCCATCTCCGGCAGCGGCGGCAGCAACCCTGTCACCTCGACGCGCACCACCAGCGCCGCGGCCACAGCGACGAGCGGCAGCTGCACGGCTGCCAGCAGTGTCGCCGTCACCTTCAATGAGCTCGTCACGACAGTGCCGGGGCAGACGATCAGGGTTGCCGGGTCAATTGCGGCGCTGGGCAACTGGAACGCGGCCTCGGCCCCGGCGTTGTCGGCGTCGCAGTACACGAGCTCGAACCCGTTGTGGACTTACACGGTGACGCTGCCGGCCGGGACGACGTTCCAGTACAAGTTCATCAACGTGGCCTCGAGCGGAACCGTGACTTGGGAGAGTGACCCGAACCGGTCCTACACTGTGCCGACAGGTTGCGCGACTGCCGTGACTGTCAGTAGCAATTGGAAGTGAGAAATGTGGGGGATTATGCGGGCAAGTTGTCGTTTTTGATGGAAGCAAAGTTCGCTGTCTGGGTGTGGAATCGATACATTACTGGGACGATTAAGTTGTCAGCGGGAGGGTTCATTTGCTTCAACCTGTACATACCTAACTTACCCTATTGTTCATACCTGCTTTGTAAGAATGCAGCTCAAACATGAAGTTTCCTCTTCTCTGCAAATACTCCCAAAGCTGATCTCTGCAGCCTATGTAGCATGGAAAAGCAGGCGAAGTCATAGCATACGTCTTACACGTGTCTCTGGCAACTCCACGAAAGCCTCGACAGGCAGTCGTTTCCACTAGCTCAGCGCCCTTGCAGGGTCGTCGTGGCACTGCAACGTCCTTTCTGCAGCCCGTGCTGCTCAGCCGTGACAGGGGATCGATAGAGATCGGTGGCTCCCGTCTCGCTTGAGTCCTTGAATTTTGGGGAATTTTGGGGGCGGAGTCGTGCTGCCTGCAGCGGAAAACAGGGGCTTGCTTCTTCTTCTTCCCCTCACTGAATCCTTCATGAGGCCTCACTAGACTAAGAGAGTCTTCTCACTCTCGTTCAGAGCATAGAGGCAATCCTCAACTATCCTGAACATTGAAACTTTCCACAACGCTGTCCAAGGTCTATACCCCACGTTTGCCACAGATCGGCGAATGAGCAACACGGTGAAAAGCTGGCGGCCTGAATCCTATTGACAAGCTTTGGGCTCCAGCGGCTCTTCTGCCTTGCGCTGTCGCGGCACTCTTCCCGTCCTAGTGCTTACGCTGCTAACCTCATTGGCCTCTCTGTCTGATAAACCCCAGCTACGTAGCTACGCGATCCGTTCCACGCAGGCAGCAGCGGCCTCAGCGAGGTACTTTGCATCAGTCGATTTTCAAGCGAAACACTGCATTTGGCTGAAAACACCGTGAACATGGGTGACTCACTGCCACACAAGAGGCATCAACAACCCCTGATGAGGCAGCCACTGAGGAAATGTGAGCCGCCTGGCGCTTAGCTGGCGCGTTCGCCATTGACAGGATTGATGCTATGGAGTTTTTACACTTTCGTTCCGTATGTGGCCCATTGCGATGAAGAGATAAAGAAGTCTGAGGCACCCTTCAGAGATCTCTCTTATCTTGGATCATCAGCACCCGAATCATCTCGTTCATTCCGAGAAACACACTTCAGACACAATGGCGCCCAGCACAATTGAGGCCTTGGGCCTGACTATGGTGGACGACACCACGACCATCAAGGAGACCAACGGCACATCAGAGACCAAAACCACGAACGGTCACACAACAAACGGCGAGACTACCACAAACGGCGAGGCCCCCAAGGAGAACGAAGCCAAGTCCGACGATGAGCCGTCAACAGAGGCAGCTTCCGATGAGAAGGATGAGGAAGACGATAAGCCCAAGGAGCCTCTCGCTCCTACCGGCTCCATCTCTTCCACCAAGAACATCTACGCATCCCCCAAAGACAGCGACGGCAACTGGACTTGGGTCGACAAGTACCCCGAAGACGTCCACGAGGCAGCCGAGAACGAGGAGACGGCCCAGTACGCAGTCGTAGTTCGCAACGTCAAGTCCTCAGACTCTCGCAAGAAGCTCGAGGCTCACTCTATCGTGATCCAGTCTCCCTGGCTCAAGACTGCCCTCGGCGAGATCCTCGACGGCTACACCGGCGTCGCCTGCGAGCTCGAGCGCCTCGAGTTCGATGCCCCCTTTCACCCCTTTGTGCATCGCTGGACCGAGCTCTGCAAGTACATGAAGAAGCCCAGCCTTGACGACAAGACCAAGGAGCACCTCAAGATCCTGTACGACATCCTCCAGTACGAGATCGGCGACGCGATCAAGGTGTTTGAGGACTACGTCGCCAAGGGTGTCATCACCTTCGAGCACCTCTGGATGATCTTCCAGCCCGGCGCCATCGTGCTCTCTGCACACAAGGGCCCTCTCTCCGCGTTCGAGCTCGAGGAGACCGAGTATAAGGCCACGCAGTGCGGCAAGTACCTCGAGCTGTCCGCCGACTGCGTCGACTACGGCGGCAAGACCTTCGGCCGCTACGGCGAGAGCATCAAGGTCCCCGAGTTCCTCGGCACCAAGAAGATCACCGGTCTCAACGCCTACCCGTGGGCGTTCCACCCCGAGAAGGACAAGGTCCGCCAGGGCCTCATCCGCCGCGGCCAGATTTTCGAGGAGCTCGCGGGCCACCACTACAAGCAGTACTCCGGCACGGCCATCACCTGGGACCGCGAGGGCAACGAGGTCCCGATCCAGGTCGACGGGCGCATCGTCGTTGACATCAGCTCCTTCAACCGCTACAGCCCCTACTATCCGCGCTACCTCGACGACTGGTCGGCCAAGGACCTCGAGGCGCTGCAGGCGTGGAAGCGCTCGCATGGCCTCGGCAAGGACGGCAACCTGAAGCTGACGCCGTACCACCAGATGCTCGCGCGGTCGAGGACGCGCGGGTACTCACTCAAGCTGAAGAAGTGGCTCGACTTCTTCGTCGAGACGGTGGACGAGATTACCTGGAACACCAGCGCCTTCGACAAGCTCGTCCTGCCCGAGGACCAGAAGGAGCTCATCCTCGCTTTCTCCGAGTCGCAGCTCGAGGGTTCGTCCTTTGACGATGTCATCTCCGGTAAGGGCAGGGGCATCATCTGCCTGCTCTCCGGTCCTCCTGGTGTCGGCAAGACCCTGACCGCCGAAGCCGTCGCAGAGAACCTCAAGGTCCCTCTCCACACTCTCAGCTCCGGCGACCTCGGCTCCCAGCCCTGGGAAGTCGAGAACGGCCTCTCGCGCATCCTCGAGCTCGTCGCCCGCTGGAACGCCATCCTCCTCCTCGACGAGTGCGACGTCTTCCTCGAGGCGCGCTCGACGCACGACCTCGAGAGGAACAAGGTCGTCTCCATCTTCCTGCGCACGCTCGAGTACTACGAGGGCATCCTCTTCATGACCACGAACCGCGTCGACAACATCGACCTGGCGTTCCAGTCGCGTATCCACGTCTCACTCGAGTACCCCGACCTGACGGTCGACTCGCGCCGCCAGATCTGGCGCAACTTCCTCGAGGGAGCGACGCTGAAGAGCGAGGTCACAGATGAGGATCTGGATGACTTTGCTACGCTTTCGCTTAACGGTCGCCAGATCAAGAACATCTTGAAGACATCGCAATTGCTTGCGGCCAGGAAGAAGAGTACGCTCAAGCGCAGCTTCATTGATACCGTATTGAATATCGAGAACAGGCGCCCTGGTGGTCGTCAATAAAGAGCTGAAAGTGTGTCTCGGATGATTTGGATGCCGATGGATTTGCTGAGCCAAATAGGGGGGGTAAACATCCTCGGCTAAAGGGGCGTGGTCCGGAGTTTCGGGTTCCTATATGATATGACGGTTCAATGAAATACATGTTATGATTGCAACTGCTTTGATGTCTTCTGATTGTCTTCGTATGTGTCAGCATCTATAAAATTATGCTTCTTGGATGGGCTCCTCCGTCGTTTCCATAAGCTTTCTACTGGCAAAATAGTCAGCCTCGTAGACCATACTCGGAAGCAACATCGTCTCTGCCGTCTGGATACTTCGTTCTGTCTCTATCGCCTTTGCCGCTTGTATCGTCATTGCCGTCTGTTCTCGTTGTCGTCGTCCCTGTTATTGTTTCCGTCCCTTTAGTCACCCGAGGAGCAACTTCTACCATGGTTGCTCATCATAATTACGTTTATTGGATGCCGCATAGCATTGTTACGCTAAGATAAATGAGGGCGCCACAAGTTGGCTTGTCGCCTTTTCTCCAAACCGCCAGGTATTCCAAACTCCTTACCCCTATGCCAGAAGATGAAGCAACAACCATCCTTACCAATCACGTTTTGATGATCTCAGCGGCGCGAAGAATCCCGCGCGCCGTCTTAGACACCCACTCCTCAGCTACCGTGAGGTTCCCATCCCCATACTGCACGCCCTCCGTAATGCCTGGGAACAAGACGGCAGCATACCCGGTGTCCAGGCCTGGGGCAGTGACCACATGCTTGAAGAACTCTCGGTTGGGCAGGCCTCCCTGACTGATAAAGCCACGCTGGAAATCACGGTACTTGTGGTTGATCACTGTAATGAGGTCTGTGTCGTTGGTCGTCACTGCAAGTTGCTCCAAGGCCTTGACCTCGTCGGCTCGTTTGGCGAACTCGTCAATGGCGTCAGATAATTCAGACAAGTCCAGCTCCTGGCCCTCAGAAGCGACGAATTCCGTCAAATCTTCGAGGTAAGAGCTCAGTTCTGAGGCGTAGTTCGGCAGGTCAATTGGGAGGATCTCGTCGTCCGCCAAGTGGTAGGCGAGGAGGGCAAGATATTGGCCGATTGCAGCATGAACCAGGAAGCCAGGATCGCCAAATTTGGACATCCAAGCGTAGCTGTCATAGTTAGAATGATAATGCCCTCGATTCTAGTTAGCAATATCCCAGATGTTCTCGTGAGGATACATACAGATCGGATCTGTTGCGCCGCCACCGGAGCCAACGTCGAGCTATCACGGTGTCAGTAAGGTATTGTGACACCCGTGAACCAGCCTCACTTACCGAGCTGATGCCTTTGTGTAGGAAGGCAGTGTAGTCACTGCCACTTCCTAGTGGTTCTACAAGGCCGCCGGACGCTTCTTCCCATGCGTCATAGAGACTGATATTGAAACCGCCGAAGTTGGGGTAGATGATCTTCTTGAAAGTCTCAGTGGCAAGTGTATGCAACTCGGGCGTAGCTGCTAGATTAGGACGAGGACCCGAAACGGCAACGTCGATGTTCAGATAGGCGACGGCGCTCTCAGTCAGCCAGTTGACGTTGTCCTCAACCCATTCCGTGCTTCCGATTAGGCCGTACTCCTCAGCATCCCAGGAAGCAATGACGCTAAACACGGTTAGGGAAAGCAGCGATGTAGGCGGAAAGACACTTGCATGTTTCTCCTCGGGACCCAGCCCTTGGAACGGAGGACTCCAATCGCCTTGGTGAACTCAACGAGGATAGCGGAGCCAGAATTGGGGTCTCCGTTGCCACCGATCATCCAGGTATCGCGATGGTTTCCAATCACGATGGTCTCATCAGGGTTGGTGCCGTTGATGTGACCAATAACATTCCAAATTGGGGTTATTTTTCCTTCCATCAAGTTGTCAAGGTGAAGCGTGACTCCTGGGGCTGGGCCAGTGCTGTAATCAGCATCCAAGCTTCCCGCCCAGATTGTACGGTTGACTTCGTCCGGAGTGAATCCAAACCCGTTCAAAGCCTGCAGCAGAGGCTCGGCAGAGGCATAGGAGATGGGGATGGATGGAATCTTGGGTGTGACGGGAGAGATGTCAGCGCGGTCAACCCCCTCGTGAGATGCGTAGCCTGGCGTGGTCGGGTCGCCGGGGTTCGTGGAAAGGAATAGAACGGAACCCTTTTGAACGGCGCTTGGGTTTCTGGCAGGACCATCTGTACAGCCAATTGTCAGTATCTTTTCGACGACGCGTTCAAGGTTGCCATACTGGGATACGACTCATAGCCATTGGCGACGGTAATGTTCCCATCGTCAGCTGGATCTGTGAATATCACGGCGCCAATCATGCCATGGTCCTGCGCGTTCTTGACTTTCAGGCCTCGGAAGAGTCCGCCGTATCTGGCCAGAGCAATCTTGCCTTCGAGTTCAACACCGAGCTCGACTAGGCGATCGAAGTCGGCTTGAGAACCTCGTCTGAGCTAAAAGTCAGTACAGCTCCATAATGCCTCAAATGGCAGACTACTGACCCAACATAGACATATTCGCCCGTAACATCTCCAGACGCCGAGTACCCATGGAAAGTAGGCTGGTTATCGGGTCGGCCCGTCACATCGTCCTCTTCCAGGACGTCCTCATCGAGCCTGACATCTTCCGTCGAGCCATTCGCGTATGTTATCTGCAGCGAAGCATGGACCGGGTAGCTCAGGTAGACGTGGTATTCGTTAAGATGCGCGTCGAAGCCATTCTTGTTCCACTGCTCAGCGGTCCACTCGGCGGCTTCTTTGCCAAGACCTGCGAGCTTGACTTGGTGGCCGTAGTAGTCGGACCACTGGTCAATGGTGACATTGTCGAACGCGTTTACGAGAACGGTCTCTTCTTCCGTCAAGACCGGGGGCCATTGGTCGTCCGCGCGCTTGGTGATCCGCTTGCGATGGGTGTGTCGCTGTTCGAGAAGCAGGTCGCGCTGGCAGGCCAAGACCACAGCCGCGAATGCCAGGGCGATTGAGATTTGGCTGCGCATAGTGGGCAGTGGTGGCACAAGCTTGATTGAGACTCAATTGTGAGAGCATCAGGAGTGATACTCTCGGCGTCGGCCGGAGGGGTAGACGCAGGAGGAGAGGCTTTTATACCTATTCAGATCGACAGATAAGAGGGGCCTGCATGCCCGAGCAAACTCATCGTGGATTGATAATGGGCTTGAGGAAAGGCCATCTAGGTACCCAATTGATTGGAGGGACGTTGACCTTACCTGGACGCGTGCCACCGCCCACGAACGGACAGTAAGGCCGGTGATGCCATTGCTCCACGGCGTTGGCAAATACGGGGCAAAAGTACCTGGTACCTTGGTAGGAAGTGGCGCAAGCCACAAGTAACACAGGATTTTACATACAAGTATTTATCTGAGCAAGAACATAGACAGCAAGCTCGTCTGCATGTCTCTCGCAGGTAAACAACAAGACGGAAGTCGTCATCCTGCCTGAAAAGTCTCGGCATTTGGAGAAAGGTACAGGAAGCTAGTGGTGTTCATGCGGGCAGGCGTGGAGCTTTCCAACGTTCCGGGCGACGTGAACAAGAAACTAGGCAGTGATACGGCGTAGAAAAGCGGCTTGCAGAGCTCGGAACAGTTGGAACAGCGGTCGACCTGCCTTGTTGGTGCTAGAAGATGCATGTTGCCAAGAGCCTCTGGCGGGGTGGCTCTGTTCATCGAGGATAAGCTGATGGCACACAAGGACTTTTGGTGCAAGACGTGGAGGTTGACCCCTCCCCCGCCATCCAATGCCGTATATCTGTGTACCCCAACCCCGCGATGCCTCTGGCTCGGTCTTGCTTGGGTCGCCCACCGCATGATTCCATTCACACCATCATCCCACGCGTTCCGGTGACGAGGCGTCGGCGAAGGAGTTCGTCATCTACTTGAGGCCTGTCAAATCGGTTTGGCGACACTACGCAATTCTCAGTAAGTCTTTCGACGCCGAGTTTCCTTCCCAGATCATTGGTTGAAGTACCGAAGATGGCGTGGTTGCTGTCCGAACTGTCCACTTGGAGGGGTTTCTCAATACTTCCTTCAGCTTACACGTTAGGCATCTTTGCTCGATTAAGAGTTGACAACAGGTCTAGACGATCTTGCATACAGTCGTACGCGAAATAGACTCTGCATCATATCCGGGAGCAGACAGCCACTGCTTATCTCTCGGTGCATCAGTCGGCAGCGTCGGAGACAGGTTCAAGCCGAGGCCGCTTCTTGGCACTACTTGCAGCCGAACTGCTCAGATTTGACACCGCCATCTAAATTAGTCTCCAGTGATCCAAGACTCCAGCGGTCTGAGGCCTTTGAAATCCAGTAACTTCGGGCCCTGTACCCACTCCGTTCTATACTCCGGGGCCACCCCGCCTGCCCAACGCTAATGTTTTGGCCTGCTCTCCCGGCAGACCAGAGCCACGAGCCCGCACCAAGGACACACGGACCCCGAAAAAGCCCGCACCGGCCCGGAACCAGCCCGGAGCTCCGCACCGGCCACGCCGACCGAGTGGAACCCGAAACGCCGTGGCCCACACCAACATGAAAAATTTTCATCATGCGTGCCCTTCTTGAGCGGCTCCCGCGCCGTTTCATCCAACAATCAAGGCAGATGTTCCCATCTGCCCGGCTAGCTCAATCGGTAGAGCGTGAGACTCTTAATCTCAAGGTTGTGGGTTCGACCCCCACGTCGGGCTCAATTCCCGTCAGCGATTGACATCGGTATCTTTTGCTTTTTGGACAGGCTGCTACAGTGATAGCTGGGACCTCTTTTGATCTGCTTGTCTTCTTTTTTTGCACCTTTCGTGAGCAATCTGTTCCGACTCGAGGCGTTAGGCAGGTATGATATTATAACTAGATTAGATCTGGCCATGAGCCTTTCTTCTTCGAGGCCTGTGATTTGTGAGAGAATCTTCTACTTCGCGTTTCTGCCTCCCTCTCGCATCACCAACTCTATCGTCATGATCACCTAAGCACCGGTATCAGGGCGTCGAGTAACACGTAGCCAAAAGTCCGTCGTGACCCAAAACGCCGCATCGTAAAGGTTCAGCGGCTCTTGAGGCTTGACCACCGCAAAGTCGAACCTCCGAAGCAACTGTGTGACCAAGTCAGCTCAGATATTTTCCCGAGACGACGGACACAATCTTCTTACCTCAACAAAGATCTTGTTCAGCTCCATATATGCAATCGTCTTTCCAAGACACTGGAACCGTCCATAACCGAAGGCGAGTTCGATGACGTCGCTCATTTCTTTGAATCGCTCCTCGTCGGCAGCGGCTTCGAGCCATCTTTCTGGGCGGAACACGTCTGCATCAATACCAAAGGTCTCCTTCGACCTCATCAACTTCTGTACGTTGACGCCTAATTGCGTTCCTTCTGGGAGATAATAACCGCAGAGCTCAGCCCCGCCTTTGGCGACTTGCTTGTAGTTGAGGCCCGTTGAAGGAGGGTACATGCGGATACCTTCCTTTATCACAGCTTGAAGATAGGGCAACTCGCGGGCCTCGACGTCGGTGATGGGCGAGCTGATACGGCCCTGAGACATTGCTGCGTCAATCTCGCGGCGGAGTCCGTTTAGGCTGGCGGGCGTGTTGAGGAGACACAGCATGGTCATGCGGATGGCTGTGGCAGTCGAGTCTGAACCGGCGATGCTGCTCATTGTGTCAGCGAGCTGTTCTGTTTGTAAGAGATACACCCATACAATTCAAGGAAGATTTCCGCTAGGAGCTCTTTGTATGTTACACCATTACGTAGATGATGTCGGACCATGGTTCCCTTTGAGTCTTCTTCAGATTCAATCTTCTTGTCAGCCAATCGCTGGGCAACACTTGACATTAGTTAGCACAGCTCTTCTGAAGCCCCAAAGGGGACGCCATACTGCATCAGTTTGCCAAAGCCATACTCATCACTCGAGAAGGGCAGCAACTTGCTGAACGGCCAACGCTGCATCATGATGCCTACGTGCGGAATATTCAGCATGAGTGCAAGAGCCGGAAAGACCTGATCGTTCGTCGAAACATAACCCCAAAGATCCTCATCGTTTGCTAGGAAGCCCAGAGCCTCGCCGAATGCGAGCTGGCCGATGACGTCCAGGGCAAAGTACTGGGATTTGTGGGAGAATTCTATCGGCCGATAGTCAATGCCTGAGGAGATGTATTTGGATTCGACGAGGTCAACGAATTGGGCGACCATCTTGTCTACCCCGGGCTCGAAACCGCCGTTGTCTCGACCGGCATACTGCAAGTATAATTAGAATACTATCCCGTCGAGCTTGGAGATGAGACTAGACGAACGCCTTCACTCAGCTTCGCCCTCAACTCTTTCCGTTGCTCATCATCTCTCATTGAGAAGAGACTGTGCTGGTCTGGGACGACCTTGGCCAGCTCATACCATGGACCTTTTGTGAAGTCTGAGCGAACAGCTGAGATTTTGCGGTAGGTATCTGCATCCCCAAAAAGGACTTCGTTGGGACCAACGCGGACTAGAGGGCCTACAAAAACACAATGTCAATGAGGCTTCCCACACATAAGTGGCCATGATGAGATGGGGTCATGATCTAAGTCGTACCATACTTGTCACCCAGCTCCTTCAACATGAAGCTCAACTTCCCTCCCCGAGTCATGAGCTGCATCGGCAAAATCGAAATCGCGTTGAGCGTCGGGCCTGGAATGTGCCTCAGGCGATACCATGTCGTAAAATACCACACCGCCAACAGGACCAGCGCACCTGCAACAACTAAAGCCGGTGGCGCCATCGAAACGAAGCCCTCAAAGGCTCCAAAGACATCGTGACCCGGCATTCTGGGCCGGCCGAGGATGGAAGCACGTCACTTCTGCACGGTGATTGATGGGATGTCAAACAAAACGTTAAATCGAAGAGAGAGAAGGGGACCCTAAGGACGGGGAGAACGCCCTAGCTAAAAAGCTTCGGCAAATTTGGCAGCCCGTCTCTAACGCGACATCACCACTGTGCGGGGTTGACCCCCATTCCGGCGGGAGACCCGTGTGTCGCTACCGGCCGGGTCTGCCATGTTTGCTGGAGAGCGCTAGACACGGTTCACACGGCCATTGAGTCGATGGTGATTGGCAGATAACGGCTTCTGGGCGACGGCAGTTGGACTTGGGAAAAAAGACTGTCGAATGGAGGGGTCGTGTTGGTAGAGCCCTGCAGGTTTGCGTGGAACCGGGACCGAAGACTGGGTGATTGTTACAGGGATTTGGGTGTCTTCAGCAGCTGTACAGCTTGTGTTGGTAAATTGAGCAAACAAAATGACGTATGATTGGCAAACATGATTAGTGGTGGATGATCATCAAAAGCGCTCTCGAGAGATTCTTTGTTCCGACGTCGATCCTTGGAACTGTGGTGGTTTTTGTGACATCCTAGGTGGACAGAAACTCGATTTGAAGAGGCGGAAGCAGTCCCTGCGTCTGTTTATCTTTGCTATCAATCGAAGCAAGCTGAGACATTCTGAACGTCTCTTCTCTTATCAAGCAAGGGGCCACAGCAGAAAGCTAAGTTCAACAAGGGAACATCCTAATAGCCTTTCAAGTTGCCGGGGTAGTGTGGCACGGCGCATGCTCGGAGGCCGCTCCGTAACCGCGGGACGTCCCAACGGCGGCATGGAGCAATCTGTATGTGCCCTCTCCCGTCATCCCGTTCGGCTGAACGTGCCGCGCAGTCAGCCGACCAATCTCACCTGCATCGATATTTCTGCTTGTACAGCCTGAAGCGAGGAATCCTTCGTCCAACATCTCTCCATGAACGCCACGCGATTGGCTCCAGCTGGACGATTCAGCTAGGCGAAGCTTTCCCGAAAACAGACCTCCAACCACGTCTTAGCGCGTCTACGCTGTCAGCGAAAATGGACGAAATGCTGGGCCCCTCTCTCACCCTCTCAGTCTCCGCTTGTGAACCAAAGGAGCGGGAAAAATAGGGGCTGGACTCCTGGAGACAAGGGTTCACGTGAAGTTTTTATTTTGCCTTAATTATTTATTTGACGGGGAGGGAGCTCTCATCCCTGCTGTACATAATGATCCACAGGTCCCTGAAAAAAGAAAGAACATCGTGACTCTGCCAATCTTTTTTCTCTTCTGTGTAGCAACCATTTGGGCATGTCTCCGTCATCCAAGCGCCGATCACCGTTCCACGGACCGGAGCACACGGCGTTCAGCTGCTCTCCCAGACTTTGAATCGGCCGCAGCAAAGCTTGTTCGAGCCAAGGACACGGTCGGAGGCCGAGTCAAACACACTCAAAGCAGTGAGGCCTCTTCCCATCCCGCCGCACCGAACCGCGTCTGCGCCGAATCCGGCGCAGGTTGGCAATTTACGTTGATTCAGCCCCCAAGTACAAACCAAAAACCAAAATACACCACAACACCGCCACGATTTCCAGGACTGAGTCTAGGCCCTCAGATTTGACCAGGCCCCGAATCCCAGCCGCGTGGGCAGCTGTGGGAACTGTGGCATTCTCTCGTTGCCTGGTAGCACATGCAAGGGCGTGTCTTACCTTGAAAAGGTAAAAATTCCAGCAGATCAGCTCCATCTCGCATCCTGCCCGCCCACCCCCTCCAAATCCAAACAAGACGTTGCCGCTCGGCACATCCTACCCAGCGCCAGCAGAAGCTGCACCAGCGAAGCTAGCGCGATCCTCCGTCTCATTTTGATCTCCAGCTTGTGAGAGGCGGGTGTGGCCCTTGGCAGCCCCTCCTCCTCTGCCTTTGGGCAGCTTTTTCTTCCTTCAATGTCATCACAGGAGACCACGGAGATGGGATGGCAACAGCAACAGAGACACTCCGCGTCCGTCCCACAAAGACCCGTCCCAGCGACGAAGGACTCCGATACCAACATTCATGACACGACGAACGCAGCGACGGGAGGCCCGATGGACACGCATGGCATCGACCTGAGCTCGCTAAGCGGATCGGCGCACTACGACGCCGATCCACTGATTCGAGGCCAAGAAACCCACGACGACCTCGCACACCATCACGACCAACGCCAAGATGCGAGTGCGGCGCTGCTTCACAACGCCCAGGAGCCTGGATATGATGGGTATGGATTCGCAGGGGCAGCACAACAACAGCAACAGCAACAGCAACAATACCAACAACAACAGCAACAATACCAACAACAACAGCATGCATACCACCAGCAGCAAATGCCTGCGCAGCCGCCTCCTTACGTCGCAGCGAATTATCTAGGACCGCCGAATGAGCCCGTGAGATCTTTTCGCGTGCGGAAGCCGACTTGCGGCTTTTGGCACTCATCATGGAACATGTATCTCTGGCTTGTGGTTGGCATCTGCTTCGCAGTCGGTCATCACGCTTTCTATGCGTCTCTTGACGGCCACCCCGCGGATGACCAGGTGCGGATGCTTCGGTACGGGACGATCCTTGCATTCATGGCCAAAGCCAGTTTGGGCGCCGCCGTGATATCGGCGTTTCAACAGCGCATCTGGGCAACGGTGAGATCGAGGATATTGAGCATCGCCGCGCTCGATTCAATGTTCGCGGCCACTGAGAACCTCATCGCGTTTCTGAACTGGGAATTTCTCAAGGGCGCCAAGGCTACTGCTGCCCTTGCGCTCTTCGTCTGGTGAGATCCATCTCTAACGACGCCACTCTCATGTCATGGGTTGCTAACTTTTATGAAGGCTCTCTCCGTTGGTGGTCATCCTCACGGCCAACACGCTTCTTGTGCAACCTGAAGTCACGATCCAGAATGCCACGTGCCCTGGCGTCCGCAGCTTGAACTTCGCCATGGAAGAGACTGCTGACTGGCGCAAGCCCGTCCGCATCGACGGCCTCTATGAGATGCCGCTGTCCTTCTGGAACACCACTAAGCCGTCTGAGGAGGATCCTCCGGGATGGTTTGACTACTACACCGGGCCTAGTCCAAACTTTCAGCAGACAGCGACCCTTGGCGCTTACTTTCAGGAAGTTGTATCGCGAAAGAACGCCTCTGTTGAAGTCTGCAGTAAGGGTTGGAACTGCACTTTTGAAATCCAGTTCATTGCTCCCGGGTACAAGTGCACAGAGCTGGCCAGCGGGGTTGGCTCGAAACCTACGAATCTCACCCAACAGTCGGGCCAAGCGACGTCGCCATTCGGCACTGACATCCTCCTTCCCAACGGAACCTTTGCATACTACGCATTCACGAGTGGAGGAGAATACTCGACGACACAGATCAGAGACGTCGACATCGGCGGTATCCCGAAGATGGATCCGCCATACCCGGAGCACATGGGGGCCTTCCGGACAGAGCCAATCATCTGGATAGGCCACGTCGTGACGGGAAACACATCTTCGGGCGGAACCGACGTCGACTTCACTCCCAAGATCTTTGCTTGTGAGCACTATGAGACCGACTACACAGCCGTCTTCAACTACACGGATGCTACGCAGTCAGCATACATGAAGAAGAGCAAATTCCTCCGCCCAATCATCAACACAACATACATCCCCCACGTCGACGCAGACGACGGCACGGCGGACAACGTTACCGCCACCCCTACATCAAACTACATCCTCCCAACCGACGTCGCGAACTACCGCCGCACGGCAGCATACCACTCCCTCGGCTTCATGCTGCGCAAGTTCCTCAATGGCACCGTCCAGACCGATAAAGCGCTCGTCAACCCCGTAACGAACACCGACGCGATCCAGACGAAGCTTCTCGACCCGCGCAACAACTACTTCCCCCACGAGAACCTGATGGAGATGGTGCAAGGTTTCTACGAGGACCTCATCCTGTCTATCTTCTCCATGCCCCAGTTCGTACCGGTTGTCTGGGCAGCCCAGCCCACCGAGATGACGGGCCAGCTCCTCGAGGGCGGCGGTCCCGGCAACAGGTCATCATACATGTACGGCTGCCAGCGCTCACGGATGGCGAACTTGTACAGCTACCACGCGCGCGACCTGTGGATTGTCTACGCGATTGCGATATTCCTCGCCATGTCGTGTGTGGCGGCCGGTGCGCTGGCGATTCGGGAGAACGGCGGGGTGCTGCGCAACACGCGCTTCTCGAGCATCGTCGCCGCCACGCGCGGACCTGCGTTGGAGAAGGTGAAGTGGGAAGGTCCCGATCGGGATCGCGGCGATGTACCGAAGGATGTGAAGGAATTGAAGATTGGGTACGGCGTTATGAATCAAAACGTCATGAGTCCTCTAGGGACGGATGGAAGATACCCCCAGCAGAGCAGTCCGGGCTGGTCGCCTAATGAGGTGAGGTGTGGGTTTGGATTGGAAGGAGATGTAAATCAGAATAAGAGGGAGGGGTCACTATTTCACAGGTAGCAAGCGACAGCATTTTGATAATACAAGGTTCAATTCTATAAGTCTTGTTGGATGTGAGAGCCACTGAAGTTCTTAGTGCAACACAAGGTCATCCATGGGGCAACCCTTGTCAACAGACTGCCTTCTCGTCTTCTCTGTGATGATCTTGCGTGTCAACTCCATCAACTGATCCGCTAGTTTCTCATCCTGCGCCAGCTTGTTGCCTGCCTCGGGGATCGCAGGCGGACAAATATACTGGCCAGATTCCTTGATTGTCGTAGCTGCGAATACAGCAGAAACGGCACCTTCCCATTGGCTCTTCTTGAACGGTTCCATGCCAACAGCCATTGCGTAGCCTCCCAAGGGATATCTGTCACAGTCAGATGCTGTACTCAACGGTTGAGTGGAGATACTCACGGCTCAAAGATATCCTCCTTGCTCATCTTCGTGCTCACGAAACCAGGATGCGTCGCATTCATCAGCACATTCGGGTGCCCGTTCTGCGTCACCTTCCTTGCAAAGTACCGCGCGTACAAGATGTTCGCAAGCTTGCTGCGTCCATACTGTCCATTCGGACCCAGGTCCTTGTTAAGCTCCTCCAAACTCTCAAACTTGACATCGCTCGGTGCAGCCTGATGTGCGTTGCTAGCCTGGTTCACGATGCGAACCGCGTTGCCCTTCTCCGCCGTCTCCTTAATCAGCGGTAGCAGGTGACTTGTCAATACCACATGGCCCATGTGGTTAAGAGCCATGTGCCTGTCCACGCCGTAGTCCGTCAGCTCGAAGCTCATGATGCCGCGGCCAGCGTTGTTGACGAGGATGTCGAGGCGGTTGGCGTCGTTCTTGATGGCCTCCGCGACCTCCTTGACGCGCTTCCAGTCCGTCATGTCGCACTGGAACCACTTGGTGCGGTTCGCCTTCTCCGTGCCTAGGTCCTTGGCGATGGCATCCTGGGCGCCCTCCACGACTTCCTTGGAAACGGAAAGGATGTAGAGCTTGGCGATGTTGTGCTTCAGGAGAGTGTGGGTGACGCCGTACCCAATGCCCTCGCTGCCGCCCGTCACCACAGCAATCTTTGACGTGAGGTCGGGGCAGTCGTCCAGACTGAACTGGTGAGAACCGAGGCTGGCGGCGGTGCTGCCACCAAAGTTCTCGGCGATGGTGTTCTGTAAATGTGTCAGGGCTGACGGGCAGATGCAGCGGTCTTGTTACCTTGATGGTCTCCATTACGGGAATGTTCACGGGACGAGTAAAGTGTAATGATCCCGTGGTTGTTGCAATTTTGCTGAATCTTATTGATACAGGTGCAGTATGAAGCGGCGCAGTTGAGGTTCTTGAAGGTAATAAGTCTATCAACTTAGTCCGTCTCAAGACGCTGATTGGAATTCGCGCTGAGCTCATTGGTAGACGGTTATGATGAATGATTTCATCCCGACACGAAATAATTGGCTTGGTCCTCTGTTCAATTGCTTATATGGGAAGGCGTTGAGCCGCATGAATCATTATCGATGTCACTGTCTTACTTGGCTCGCCCAGAAACGGCGGTTCTGTCGATGACGCGCTCATGTCAAGTCCGTCCGTCGCGTCGCACAGCGTGATGCTAAGACACAGTACCGTTTCCCCCGTGTACTAAGCCCTATGGCGACGAAGCACCAGGGCGCAAAACATGGCGTTTTTGTTCCGCTAGTGGCATCCGATGGTGACTTTGGACGTGTCGTCAGACGTACGTCGGTCATTGAATGATCTTCTACCCGGGGCAGAACCTCCGTAGTTCGTCCGTGAAACCCGGTATATCGGAGGACACTGGTGCAGATGAGGGCCTACTACGGTGGTGGAAACCATCCTATCCTTTCCATCGGCCATCGAATCCAGAGTCGCGTCGCCGGTACCAGAGTGTAGTAGATACCGGCTATCAAATGGTCGGGCCAGCCCTTGATCATCCAGACGCCATCAATTTGCTTGATCAACACCGCGAAATATGCAAAGAATACCAGCGCCAGATTCTGCCTCGCCTGTAGTCGCCCAACGAAATCTTCCGAGACGTGGTAAAGCCAGGCAAAAACCACCTGCGAGTTTGCTCCTCCGACCGTATCGTTGTCCCCAAACACGGCTGCGAACCCGGCACGAAGGCGGTGAAGAGCATCTTGGTACACTGCCCTTTCTTCTTCGGCAGAGACCTCATTCATCGTGATTTGACGGAGATTTCTCAATGCCGTTCCCCAGGACGTCACAGGCTCATCCCGAGGCAGCGTTTCGAGGTCCAGCTTGGCGATGCCGTACATGAAAGCCAGCGGTCTGGCGGGCTCCGTCATGCCAAAGAGGACAGATGCCTCAGCGACCGTTCTCAGCCCGCGGAAGAAGATGGGCCATTCCATCTCAGAGTCGTCGGTGAAGAGCAGGAAGTTTCCCGGCTGAGGACCCAGGGCGAACGTCTGGAGGCATGAGAGCATGGCGAAGATGAACAGCGGATCGCAGGATTCTGCGTCTATCGCAGCAAGTCTTGGGGTTGCTAGTCGGACCGCGGCTTGCCAATGGGCTGTGGCCTTGGTCTTGTACCAGCCCGAGGCCTCGCTACTGGTTTGTCTGAGATGGTTCATGTGCAAGCCACTGATGGCAAGGATCGCTCGCAGGAGAAAGGGGTGAGAGAAAGACATCTGGGCGACTGTGATACTCCAAAATTGCTGCACATGTGGAGTTGGGCCGAAGGTCGTGGACGTGACGGAGCAGAAATGGTGAAACAGTTGAAGGTCCTGGACGTCTAGAGTGAAAGCAGATTCATCGCACTCCTCCATAGAGTGATTGCCTGGCAGAGGCTCAAAGACAGTGGCTTGAGCTGCGTTCTCAGGCGTTGACGCGGGCGACGGAGTGGTGTTCAAACTGCACCACAGCGACCTCTTGACGCAGTTGGTGCAGCTCGGTTTTCTTTCATCGCACTATGATTGAATTAAGTCTCGACTTTTCGCCGCGTCTCGTCAAGCAGAGGTATTTTCTCCCACTGACCTTTATTCTGCGTCGCTTGCAAAAGCTACAGCCGCCACGTGATTTCTGGTGAGACCGCCGGATGCCTTTGCTCCCCATGAACGCGCCATTGTCGTTACTTTCCGTCCGGGTCATTCTGTTAGTCCGAAGATGTTTCGCTCAGGTCGGCTGCAAAAGGTCTAGAGGAAGCAGAAACACGACTGCTTAGGAGTCGCGGCATTGCCATCGCCAGCATGTTGCTGTTGTTAGAGCCATGTAGGGGGCAGACCGAATTCTTGTAGGCTCTCAGGGCACTATTCGCAGTGACAGATTTGCCTCGCCAAGGCACTAAATGTTTGCGAGTTGGGCAAAGAACCCGTGTTTGTGGGGATCGACAAGGATGTAATAGTGGCTGAGCCGCCCACTGAGAGCTGCAGCCAGCTGAACTTCGCCCGATGCCGACAGGAGTTCTGTACGAGAATTGAATGTTGTTGGCGATATATTTGTGAAATGAGAAACGACAGAAAATCTATTAGCTATGGAAATCGAAACGATGTCGCGACACACAGTTCCGAGGCATATCATGAATCAGAGCCAATGCCGCCAGACACGATTGTTGTTTGGTATTGACAAACGGCTCGTTCAACAGGCAGTGCTCGTCAACGGATAGCCAAACGGCGCGGTTTTCTTCATCTTGTAAGGATGGTACCAGTTGAACCAAAGCAACGCCAACAAAATCGGGGTAGCATCGAAGAGATACGGCAGATATTCATTCTTCATCAGGGAAGAGTCCTGGCCGCTAGAGTGCTCAGCGATGCGAAAGATGTTGCGAATAGTGACTAGTACCATGACGCCGTAGAGCGTCATCAGCCAGTGGATCTCTTGCGAGACACCTGCGGCAGTGAAGGCCTTACAAATGCGCCGGTGAAAGACTCCGGCAACGATAGTGAAGAGCACACCAAAGGCCACTTGTACTGCCAAACCGGCGAGGACAATTTGTTGGCCTGCTTTCTTGGACGACTCCGTCGCGGTTGGCTTTGAGACCATGCTTCCTCCTGTACAAGTCAGACATATGTATCATGAGATGTATCTCCTCGCCGGAGGTTTAACTGACCGTATGATTGTATCAAGAAAGATGCCACATCGCCAGCCACGAAGATGCGGGTTATCCAGCGCGGGGAGAGAATAGAATACGAGTCGCCGTCGGCAAGCCGAATGATTTTCTCAAGCATCATATAGACTGAGGCTGCAATGACGGCTGGTGCAACGAGAACAAGGATTGAGTGAATAATGAAAGGAGGCAGACTCCAGCAGCCGAAGTTTTCGCTCGCGGAGAGACATCGCATGATATAGCCTACTGTCTCAACTACATGTCAAGAATCAGTACCATGCAAAACATGTTCATGAAACGGACTTACAAAAGGCTCCGACGACCAGCGGTATCATGCACCATGTCTTGAAGTATACTGCCTGGCCAAGGTGAAGAACAGAAGACAAGCCAAAGGCGGAAGTGAAGAAGGCAGCAGCAGCCATTGACGGCGCGTATGCAAAAAGAGATTGGTATCTGCAGTCTGACATGGTCGGAATTATGAATATAGCTGCTCTTGCTGTGGTCGATCTGAACTATGTCTAGTGCGAGGCTGAAAAGCGAGAGGATGAGATATTTTAGGTACTTATCATTGTTTATCATTGCCTTCCGAGCTACGCATTGTAGTCAATACGCATTTCATATTCGAATACGCCTTTAGCTGTGGAAACATGTGCCGCCGGTACGTGAAAGGATACGAGTTTCTATTTTGTAGACTCTGCCAAGTCGGCCCCATAATCTATCTACAGACCGATCGATCTTTTGTACTCCTTGATTTATTGCACTACATGCCAGCCTAGACAAAGACCCTGAATGTCATTAGGACGACAAGCTTAAATTGGCCCAGCATAGGAAGCTGGCGGCAACGGCCAACAGTGGCTCCAGGCTCCACTGGATTGTTGCCGTTAGCGGAAATCATCCCGTTTTTCGCTGTCAGAATTAAGAAGCAAGGGTAAGGGCTCTTTACCTTTCTGAATACGCTCTTGAATACGCTCCCCGCAACCCCGATGAGGAAGTCGGCCGTCGAATACGCTCTGAATACGCCCTGTGGGGCGACCGCCAAGTACCGCAATCTATCGAGCTGCGGGTTGTGACATTGCAGCAGTAACCTCATGAAATGGCAGCTCATGGTGTCATATCCTTCCGAGGTACGTTCGCCTGGGTAGCTCTTCGTTCTGATCGAAGATTCCTGGCTCTGAATCCAACGCATATAAGGCTTCGAGTTACCACGACTTGTTTCCGACCTACTCTGGATAGCTTATGATTGAATCGGCCATTGTCCTGCAGCCAACCAATATTTCTTTGCGATCATGTTCTTTTTGCCGCTCGTTTGCAGCTTTCTTGCTGCTCTGCCTACGCCATCTCATGCGTCCAGTCGCCTGGCAACTGTTGACCTCGGTTATGAAGTTCACCAGGCGATCTCTTTCAACGTATGGCTTGCAACACCCCTCACACGATGATTGTCTACCGGCAGAACTCTACTAAGACTGGCATAGGAGACAACTGGCATCCTCAACTTCACCAATATTCGCTACGCTCAGGCTCCTACAGGTTCTCTCCGCTTTCACGCACCGCAGCCTCCGACTGGACGCGATCCCGAAATCCAAACCGGCGAGCAAGGACGTATTTGCCCACAGGCGATGCCTGAGTGGTTTACTATCACTCAACAATTCGTTTCAGCATACGCTGCAGGCAACCAGGCAACTTTCAACTACACCAATGCCGACGAAATAGCGCGTACTGCCCGGGAACAGAGGGAATGGCCTGCTCCGTGGGCTAACCCAAACAACCACACGACTGAGGATTGCCTCTTCCTGGATGTTGTTGTTCCCAAGAAAGTGTTCGAGAGTGCCAAGAATGGTACGTCTGCGACTGGATACAAAGGGGTGCCTGTTCTAGTGTGGTGAGCATGCGTAGGAGATTGAAAATTATCTGAGCAACGTATCTGATGAAAGCTTTCAGGATTCACGGAGGCGCATACGCTATTGGGAACAAGATCTACGACAACAGTGCCGACCCGACCGGCCTCATTAGAGCTAGCCAGGCCGACGGAAGTCCCGGCATTATCTACGTGAGCATCAACTACCGACTAGGGGCACTTGGATGGCTTGCTGGGCCGTCATTGCAAGCTTCTGGTGGAGTATCAAACGCTGGTCTCCAGGACCAGAGGCTCGCCCTGGAATGGGTCCAAGAGCACATCCACTTGTTTGGCGGGGACCCTGAGCAGGTGACCGTTATGGGAGGTTGGTGACTTCACCGAAGACGACTGCTGGGAGAATCTGTTCGGATGCTGACCGTGAGCCACAGGATCTGCGGGAGGAGGAAGCATCGTGCATCATATCACGGCATACGGAGGGTTGAAACCTGCCCCTTTTGCGAGGGCAATTCCCCTGTCGGCCGGTTGGATCCCTGTCACCTCTCAGTATGAGCAAGAGAACTCTACGAACAGTTTCCTGCAGTTTCTTAACGTCACTACTGTTGAGGAGGCACAGAATTCATCAACGGAGGAAGTCATCTTCGCCAACGCTAAGGCAGTCGGTTCATCCAAGTGGATTTCAACAACCTATGGTCCCGTCATTGACGGAGGTCTCGTGCCGGCATTGCCCGGAATTTCTCTGCTCAAGGGCGAGTTTGATCGCAACGTCTCAATTATGACAGGCCACGCCGCCAACGAGGGCGCAAACTTCTCCCCACCCTTCGTCGAAACCAACGACCAAATGGCCGCGATGATCCGCGATGCATGGCCCACGATAGAGGAGCCTGTCATCAGCTACATTCTCGACGAACTTTATCCGGAACCGGGTATCAATCGCACCATGCTCTATGTTGGCGAGCTGGGTTTCGCATGCAACGTCAACTACCTGGCTCGGGCATTCGGGAACAACACCTACAACTACGAGTTTCGAGTACACCCAGGTGTTCATGGTTCTGACTTCCCGTACGCTTTCTACAATGGTCCAGATGAGGTGGAAGGAGGTATTTATGTTGGCAGTCTTGGGCCTGTCATTGTCGATGTCGCTCGCACACTGCAGGGCTACATTGTCAACTTCGTTAAGTCCGGTAACCCCAACGGGCTTGGCCTCCCTGAGTTCCCAGTCTCGGGCGCTAACGCAGACATGCTGGCATTCAACAACAGCGGCGTGAGTGTTGTTAGTGACACGACGGCTAACGAAAGGTGCTTGTGGCTTCAGAAGGAACTCTACGCTTAAATGTCAACACACCTGTAAACACACCTCGACATTCACTTGGATGGTCTACGAGTCCCTGTGTCTTGACTTCAAGCTCTTGTTTCATTTGCTTCGCCCCCAATGTTTTCCGTGCCCATCTTCCCTTTCATTCTTTTCCATAGCCATGTTCACCATGGGATCAACGGAACCTTCAACCATTATCATCAATATGGCCATACAAAGCAATCACTTTCGTCCCAATTGTGACGTTTCGCAGAGTTTGCTGCAATCTTCTGTGTTTAATCATAATATACTGCTCTGCTATTCGGACAAATGATGGCGAAAATGGCGACGAGAACGTATCCCAGCATGGGGAGGACCCCCTGTGAGATGAAAGTACCTCAGCAACGCATTTGTGGCGCATTCAATACAATCCTTGAGTGTTTCATAACGTGGTACTTTGTTAGAAGACTGTTTCTCTTTAGTGCTTACTTAAATTTGCAAGAAATATTCTTTTGTCTTGAAAATCACGAGGCCATTTTGGTAGAGGGTGTAATGTAACAACCTTTCAAGGATCATATTATACGCTATTGGGCATAAGATCTACGACAATATTAACCTTATGATGTGTCGACCCAGCGTATGGAACGTAGCATGGGATGTAGTCACACCTGTAGTGGCCGGCTTTCGATATTCTTGTCATACTTGAAAACTTGAGATGCAAAGAGAGCGCCACCTGGCGACTTTTGCTTGCAACCTCTTGCCATCCACAGAAGGCTAGATGCGACGATAATGACAGAAAGTGCACCGATGTGGAAATGCAGATGGCGTTGCGTGAAGAACGAGTGTGCTTTCTCAACGCCTGAGACATTGAAGTTTCAGCGTGCTCTTCTTCGCCTATAAGATATGGCGAGTAATGTAGAGGATTGGCTTCGGTGATTCTATTCGCTGTGCTCGCCGCCACCCAACGCCTCCAGGCTTCACTCTCCCTCCCGTACTCTTCCACGATACCCTCACTGCCTGTCCGATGTGTGGCTTGGCACTGTGAGCATAGAGGGCGTTCGCTTACTCTCATGTCTCAGGCGCCAAGGGGATGGGCTCAGCCAAAAAGCCTAACATTCGGAGTTGATCAGGAACAAGCCTAGGGGGAAGACAAATGTCTAACAATGGCGTAACGTCTCAGCCTTCGATGTGTAAGACTGTTCATGAGACCTCACTCTCTACAACTGGTTCAGTTGCTGCTAGAGTTTGTTCTGAATCTGCCACATTTCCACACTCGGGGCTGGATCTCAAAATGACGATCCTGCATACCAAGAGCAATATGTCGGAACAGGCATGCATCTGCTCATCTGAACAATTGTTTGCCTGTTCCATGCGTATTTGCGAGTATCTGGCGTGCCAAGAGTTGAATTCCATTGAAGAGAGGAGAGAATGCCAAGGGCGAAATAGGACCATCTTTGTAGACCAAGACTCTTCAGCGGTCTCAACATTGGACGTTGAACGTGACGGCGACTGTCGGGGGTAGATGTATAGATAATTGATGGACGTAAACCCAATTACCTTCTAGTGTTTGTTCACACACGACAGACATCTTTTCAGAGACGACACTCTTTTCAACTTGCTTGCTCGCGCAGAGCCTGCTCCCACACTCTTTTGCCCACGCTCTTTTACACCGCCAAGATGAAGTTGGCTTCAAGCCCTATCGGCCTCACGTTGTTGGTGATATCAACGATATGCGTCCAAACCGTCTGGGCTCAATGCTTTGGTAGCGACACGTTGTGTGCCGTTCGAAATGCGGCCCTGCCTTACTGCGTCAATAACAATTGCGTTGCATGCCGCACCAGCCAGAACTGTCGAGTTCCAGGTGACACTGTAGGCACCCAAAACCAAGTCTGCGACCAGAACGCTTGTCGTGCGTGCACCGCCAACACCGAATGCTCCACCGATGGATCTAAGATCTGTTCCCTGGCTGGGATCTGCGCGCCGCCTTGTACCAGTGACACCCAATGTGCCGGCGGTGCCAACGGACAACCGGTACAGGGTGGCGGCTCGATCTGCCGCGAGGGACGCTGTTCTCCTTGCACCTCGAACTCCGACTGCAACACCTCAACTGCCGGCCCCACCTGCGACACTGCTTCCGGCCGATGTGGTCTTTGCAATACAATCACCGGCAACGCCGGCTGTACTGGCTCACCTGGCCTTCCGGTCTGCAACCAAAACACCGGTCAGTGCGGTCCTTGTACTGCGGCCGCAGATTGTGCCGGTTCGTCAATCGGTCCAAACTGCAATGCTGGCACCGGTGCTTGTTTCCGTTGCACGAGTGGCACCGATTGTGTTAATTCACCTACCGGTCCGGTCTGCAACGCAGCCGATGGCACTTGTCAGCCTTGCAACAGCAACGATGCTTGTACCAACTCACCAAACGGTGCGACCTGTGTCGTTCGCACCGGTCTTTGCGGCCAATGTACCAGCAATGATGATTGCACCGGCAACCAGTCGGGCACTACATGCTTAGCTGGTAATTGTGGCGTTCCTTGCACCAGCAACGATGCTTGTGTCAACTCACCAAACGGTGCGACCTGTGTCTCTCGCACCGGTCTTTGCGGCCAATGTACCAGCAATGCTGACTGCACCGGCAATCAGTCGGGCACTACATGCTCAGCTGGCAGGTGTGGCTTTCCCTGCACCAGCAACCAACAGTGTGCTGCTCTGGCTACCTCTACCCTTCCGGCCTGCGATGCTGGCACTGGCCTTTGCCGGGCTTGCACCCAAGACTCTGAATGCGTTGGTAACCCTACCGGCACAAACTGCGGTAAAGGCGGTGATGGACTCATCCGCGGTGAGTGTAATCAAGACTGTGGTCAGGAAGGCATTGGACAATGTAACACCAACCCAAAGGGACCTTACTGCGCCAAGAACGCTGCTGGTGCTTTTGAATGCGGTCCAGCTCCCGCCGGTCCAGCTCCCCCGACAACGACATCGACAACTGGAACCACAACTGCAGCCTCCACCAGCACATCAACCGCCGTATCAACGAGTCAAGCAGCTTCAGGTTCTTCCACGGTATCGACGAACCCGGCTGCTGCCTCGTCCTCATCCTCTCAATCATCAACAATTCCAGCAGCCTCCACAAACCCTGCAGCCGGTACTTCGGGTAGCACTTCAATAGGCCAAGCTATTGGCAGCAGCTCTTCGACTACCGTGCTCCCTTCGAATGGTGGCATTGCATCCACATCAGCTCCAGTTGCATCTAGCTCAGTCGGCTCTTCGGCGCTGGCCAACTCGATTCCTCCCGGTTCTTCTGCTCCAGCCAACTCAGTTTCTCCCGGTTCTTCATCTTCGGCCAACCCGATTCCTCCTGGTTCTTCTTCCTCAGCTAACTCAGTATCTCCGGGTTCTTCATCTGCAGTCAATCCAGCCCCTTCTGGTTCTGCATCTTCAGCCAACCCAGTCCCTCCCGGCGCCTCATCTGCAGTCAACCCAGTCCCATCTGGTTCTGCATCTTCAGCCAATCCAGTCCCTTCCGGTTCTTCAAACAACCCAGGTCCCACTGGGTCTTCGTCCTTGGGCAACTCAGCCGTTCCCAGTAGCTCTTCAACCCCGGCGGGCTCTACTCCGACTGACACGTCCGAGTTCACTTTCACGCCCGGCGAACCCACCGACACTTCCACTGACGCTACCACCGCCACGTCCGACCCAGTCCTTCCCAGTGACTCTGCAACCTTGACTGAATCTAGCTCGACCGGCACGTCCGAGTTCACGTTCACATCCGCGTCCGGCGAATCCACTGCCACTGCCACTTCCACCGCCACACCCAATCCCCCTCTTATCATTGTCGAAGGCAACATCTTGAGCAATCTCGGCTGCTTCGGATCTCCGTCTGGCCACCCGGGCTTCAACCTGACGCTGACCTCCGCGCTCATGACCCTTGAGCTCTGCGCTGCTGCTTGCCCCACCACCATACAGTACGCGGGTGTCGTAGGAACCGAGTGCTACTGCGGAAACGTCGTCGACAGCACCAACGAGGTCAACGTTGCCGAGGCCCAGTGCGACACACCCTGCCCTGGCAACCCCGACCTGCGCTGCGGTCATGCCGTTACTCCCTCCGGATCTCGCCTCAAGCGCCAGCTTCTATCAGTTGAGATCCGCTTGACCATCTTCGCCCGTGTTGTTGGCGGCATCTCCAGCACTAGCTCTGGCGCCTCTGGTACTGCTACCATCTCCGGCTCCATCTCCGGTTCTAGCACCGCTGGTGTGAATGCAAGCACCGTTACCGCCACCTTCACAACCACCGCCGTCACTACTGTTGGAACCGCTGTCGTCAGCGGTGTCCAGACAATCACGACCACATACTGCCCGTTGTGCCAGGACTGCATGGGTCCCTTTTGCTACAAGCCAAGCCCTTGTGTCAGTGGCATGTGTTTCGGCCAGCCCTGCATCGATGGTGACTGCTGGAAGAGGTTCGTCTCTTACGGCGGCTACTGTGGTTATGACTCCGGTTGCTCTGGTTCTCAATGCCAGCGTCGTCTTGTCTGCTACGACGGCGTCTGGTTCCCAGACGTCTGTGACGGATACGACTGCGGACGCAAGGTTGTCTGCACTAACGGCCAGTGCGAGTACGCTACTCCGGGAAGCAAGCATTATGATGAGGTAGTTGTCTGTTACGGAAACAACTGCGAGGTCCAAAAGTGCAGCGGAGACGCCTGCAACCAGAAGTACGTCTGCAAAGATGGCTCCTGCGGGTTCCAGTCTGGCTCTGCATCTGAGGCTGGTCAGAAGTACGTCTGGAATGGCAGCACCGGCAACTACACTCTCGACGAGGGTTGCAAGAGCAATTGCCCTCAGCCTCTGGCCCCCGTCCCTGTTGGTCCCTCTCCGGGGCCTGGTGGTGCTCCCTCTCAACCTACTGCCGGTGGTGCGGCTCAGCCGGGTCAATCTGGTGTTCCTCAACCCGGTCAGCCTGGTTCTCCCCAGCCTCCTGCTAGTGGGCTTCCTCAGCCATCCACCGGCAATACTCCCGTCGGAGGCGCCCCTGCCGGAGATGCTCCTGCCGGAGATGTTCCGGCTGGAGGTGCTCCGGCCGGCGGTGCTCCGGCCGGTGGTCCTAATGCTCAGCCTCCTTCAGGTGCCGGTGGTGCTTCCCAGCCTCAGTCTTCCCCTGGTGGTTCTCCTCCCGCTGGCGGTGCTCCCCAGCCTTCTTCTGGTGCTGGTGGCGCTTCTCAGCCCCAGTCTCCCTCTGGGGATGCTGCCCCCGCTGGCGGTGCTCCTCAGTCGCCCTCTGGTGCCGGTGGTGCTTCCCAGCCCCAGCCTTCCGTTGGTGGTGCGCCCCCTGCCGGGGGTGCTCCTCAGTCTCCTCCATCCGGCGCCGGGGGTGCTTCTCAACCTCAGCCCCCGGCCGGCGGTGCCCCCGCAGGAGTTACGCCCGTCAATCCTTCTGTGGTAACCACTGCTACGGCTGGCAAGCTTGTTGCTGGCTTTGGTGCCCTTGTTATGGGTGTGCTTGTTCATGCCATCATCTTTTAAGAGGGTTGTTTTCCCTTTTGCTTAGACACTCTCAGAGTTCTTTCCACGTCAAGGGCTGGATGCTGCTTAAGATTCTAGAAGCTGTCGCGACGACCAAATTGTCGAGGCACCGATTCGATCGCGAGGCAGCTGAAAACTAATAGGGGCTGGTTAATTCGGATCTACTTCTTCTTTGTAAATATGCCCAGCCATTAATTGTGATACGACTTCAGTTCCTCCGACTGTAGACTAAGACATTGACATCCATGTAGACAATGTTTAGGGCGATGAATCTTGGTTGCAGGCTCCTGATTTATTTATCGCATAACTTCTCTTTGTCTTCGTTATCATTCATACTCAGTTTCACCGTGAGACCAACAGCTTCTTCAACCAATTCTCTCAATTCAGCCCTGTAAATACAATATTTATCGACCCAATCGCCGCTGCTCACAGCGACTCGCGAAATCTTCAAAGCTCTCGGCGGGGCCGAGTTTGATGTTGATGGGGACTCCGCGGAGATGTGTTCATCGAGAGCGGTCCACTTGGAGTTCACAGGGCCATCAGGGTCTTCAGAGCCAACTTGGTCAGAGCGTTCAGGGGCTGCCGCCAACTAGTCCAAGTGCAAATTATGAACTCGAAGCAGTAATTTCTTCTTAATACCACGTGCCTGGAAGTGTCTTTTTGTGAAAGAGATAAGGGTCTGTGTCTGAGGGAGTACTTCCAATTATTGACAGAAGCGCGTGATCGTCGGATATTTGAGTCCACACTTGAGCAAATGATGACTCTTCTTCTAAACAATGCTTCTTACTCCAAATCATTGCCCGGGTTTAGATGGTCCCCGTCGTGCCGGCAGATGATGTATCAGGCACGCAACATATTGCACCATCTCTAGTGAGTTCACAGAGGCTTACGGCAATGGCCTTCGGGTTTCGCAACAGCAGTCCAAAGTTGGCTCCAACTCGTTGATCAGCTTGGCATCAAGACTGACGGCTACAGTCGCCAAGTCTTGTTCGGTCTGGTGTCACTTTCCATGCAGCCCAATGCGGGACACCACCTGCATCCGATGTGTAGCAACGCCTTCATCTTACGAATCGAGGACGGCGCTAGCCTTGGAAAACGGGTAGCACGGCCTCCAACAGCGCCAGGCCTAGACTTCAGGCGATCCGCCGACTCCAAACCAAGTCCAAGCTCACGATGACGAGCGAGCGTCCTGTACTGGATCGCCAATTCTTGCCGGTTCAACAGACTTTACTGCCCAGGCGACACGAGGGTCGCAATCGCAACTTCAAAGCCAAAGACCAAGCAACAAGTTGCTCTGGACTTATCTGCCCAACGCACAAGTAGGAAGTTTGCATGTTGTGTATCTCTCGGTTAGATGCCAACGGCGTCGGTGCAACGTGCACAGGGATGCACCGTGTTCCATGTGGTGGTAAACGCCACGGTACGCCTCAAAGCTTGTGGCCGCCAGCGTGACATTTCGATGTCGACAAGGTTTATGCCCAGGTTAATTGACATCAGAATCAACTGATGTGAGCTTGATAGATCAACAATAATGGAACTGATCTTCTGCCAAGTGAATATCAGACGTCTTGTTGGTGTCGAGGGCGTGCAGTTCGGAATTGGCGGCTCATTTCACACTCGGCCGTCAATCGTACTCGGAGTGTTTCCAAATTGATGCCCCGCGGCGGAAGGTAACCTTTGTCATGCCCCTTCGGAGAAGCGAGCCGGAAACATGACTCATCTATGGGCGATTCTTTTCTCGATGAAATACCACACGCCGATCTCCCGAGATTTGAGCAAGCAAAGAGTCCATCACGGAGGTCCGGAGAGTTGGCGTCGATGGCAATGCGGGAGCTAGATGTGAAAACAACAAAAGGTAGGTCTCCCGCCGGCATGGGAAACCGAACGAATCCCGCAACACGGCCGAGTCTAGTTTAGACGCGCCAGCAAGGCGCGCCAGCTTCTCTGAATGGTCAAAGACGGGCATCAGATGACGAGCTGCCACCTGTTATATAATAGTTTTCCCCTGGAATGCGCTTCTGGCCGTTTTGGGGTCCACATATGGCCGGCGGCCCCCCGTCCGGTCCGGGACCTAAACCCTTTTGGGAGTTTCTGTTACCAAATATGACGTGCCCCAAGGCCGTTGTTAACAGTAACAAACAATAAGCCGCCTGCCATTGAATGTGAATCTCCGCGGCAGTAAGAGTTGTTAAAAGTAATGCAAGATCCGAGAGATCTGAAGCGGGCCACATGGTAGGATGGTCTGAATTGGACGAAAGAACAACTTGCATTTTGTGTCTCGGTTTGTGTACGATACCACATTGCCATAACCAGCCTGTGGCTTGTGTCTCCTGTTCCTGCATGCCATCCCTTATCCGACGCATATTCATCCGACGACTTTCACGAAACCAAACGAAGAATTAGACAAAAGGCCTCCCGTCGTCAATTTTGCAAAGATCAAGGCAACTCCGAAGACAAAAGGAGACAAGGGTGGGAAATCGGCTTCTTATTTGCGCGGAATTTATCTCGATTACATTCCGAAAAGTGGCACTTCCCCGGATTTAATCGAACGCTACCCCGGACTTGGCATAGCGACGATCCGTCCCCAATGTTGCATTGCAACCCGAAAAGTTGGGACTTCGATATTGATCGATTTCTCAACCCTTTCGTCCCGCCGCCGCCATGGGCCCATCTCCCATATCCAGTATCACATTTCTTCGGCTACCGCAAGTCTAAGCCTGACAACACCGGCAACCTCGTGCCGATTTTCTGGGCTTGCATAGGCGTCTTCTGCGGCGTGGCTGCGGTCGCCATTGTCTCTCGCCAAATCCCTTCCTTCAGAGAACATGGAGCCCCCATCATCGTCGGCAGCTTTGTAAGTGATTATTTCCCTCACCTAGCCGCTTCCCGGCCCATTCCCACACCTCTCCCACACCGAGATTGTCACGGAGAGGCCAAGGATGGGCTCGGGCCTCCAAGAGTCCCCTTCCAGCCACCCGTTTCATGCCTCGGCCTTCCCATATGACGACATCCTCCCTTCCCGCCCGCCTCATTCGTCGGCAACCTGGTCAGCACTGATAACTTCAAAACGGATGCGCTGACTCAAGACTTGGCCTCTTCCCAGGGCGCAGCCGCCGTGTTAGAGTTCTATTCCATCGAGGCGCCGCTCTCTCAGCCCCGCAACTCAGTCCTCGGGCAGCTCCTCGCCGCGCTTGTAGGGGTCGCAATCTGCAAACTGTTCCAGCTCAGTCCGCACTTCCAGGAGGTACGCTGGTTGGGAGGGGCCCTGTCGTGCGCGCTGGCGACGACCGTTATGGCGCTTACGAAGACGGTGCACCCCCCTGCTGGCGCGACGGCACTCTTGGCCGTCGTCGACGACGGGGTGGTGAAGCTGGGCTGGTTCTTGGTGCCTATTGTGATGCTTGGCTGTGTCGTAATGCTTGCCACCGCGCTAATCATTAACAATGTTCAACGGCGCTTCCCGATGTACTGGTGGACGCCTGAGGATGTACGGCAACACCGCGTGCCATGGAAGCGACGGGGTGACGAGGAGAGTCATGGGAAGGCTGAGGCCGACGAGGTTGAATCGAGGAGTAGGAGCGAGTCCACGGTGAAGCCAGACCCAGTGTTGATCATGAGGCCTGGGGAAGTGATTGTGCCCGAACACATGTTCATCACACCTGAGGAAAAGCTGTTTTTGGAGCAATTGAGTAATCGGCTTTGAACAATCACTTTTGTCTCTGTTTTTTTCAGCATAGCCTTAGCGAAGTGTTTGGAGCAGATTTCAATGTAGAGTATTTTTTGTATCTTCAATAGCCATATTTCATCTATATTCATGTCCCAGTGTCCGATCAGCAGCTTTCTGTCATGAGGCTGTTTCTGATGTTCTGCTGTTCCTTCATCGTAAAAGAGAAAGAGAGATGTAGAGACGTTCCATCGTTCTGCCGGGAAATAATTCCCGTGACACATTCCAAATCATTAACATCAAATCATCATTAACCACGTCCAATTCCCCCTCATTATTGTGCCATTGGTATCACCGTCTGTCTGTCGTGACTTTCTGATGTTCATCATTGCTTAGCAGACTTTGTGCGCGACATGCGCAGCTCAGCCAATTTCGCCGGGTTCTGGGTGGGGTCGTTCTCCGGGTCGCCGTCAGCACCCGGGTTGGCCATCTCGTATTCCAAGGTCTTGATGAACTTGTAGAAAACGACAGCGATGAGTGCACCGAGGAAAGGTCCAACCCCTGCGATTAAGATTAGGTTTCGGCTGCGCAAGTCATGTCTTGGAGGGTGTTAAACTTACAGTAGATCCAGTGCTCTGAGTCGAAGGTTGCGGTAATGACGCAAGGACCAAAGCTTCGTGCAGGGTTGAGGGAGCCGCCAGTAAATTGGACTCCAACCAATTCAGCGATGAAGAGTGTCAGGCCGATACCAACTGGGGCAATGAAGGTGGCCCTGTGCTTCTCCTTGGCTAACATGAAGATTGTGAATACGAGTTCAGCAGTGAGGATGGCTTCGATGAAGACACCCTGAACAAGAGAGGCGCCGCCGCCAAGGGTAGTGCGGACGTTGAAGTTCTCCGGGAAGAGGAATCGCACAATTACCGATGCAAGCATGCCACCCAGGATTTGGGCCACGAACAAGCAAGCAGCACGAGATGCAGGAATTCCCTTGACGAGCCAAAGTCCAAGAGTAACAGCCGGGTTGAACAGTCCACCGCTGATGCGGAAGAAGATCCAGACATTGACCATGAGAGAGAAGCCGAAGATGATAGAGATGTAGAGGAGTGTTCCGCTGTTGAAGCCGGTCGAAGCACCAGTGGTGGTGTTGCTGTCTGATGGCGAGTTGGAACTGTTGGCAGCAGACTTGATGTTGGCGACTTCTGTACCGGCGAAGGCGAAGAAGAGGAACATGGTCGTTCCAACGAGCTCTCCCAAACTCGCGACGAAGTGGTTCTTGACGTCGGAGTTCATCCACTGAGTGAGAGGCAGACGCATGACCTGGGCCTTCTCCTCGCGG